TTCTGTTGTCGTCCATTTCTGCCAACAAAAAAAACAAATAAGCCAAAAAAGCAGCAACAAAATTCAAGTAATGTCGCAACGAGTAGACAATGGGAGTGTCTATACCAAGGGGGCACGACTAAGGCCGGCCATTACCAAGGCCTCCTCCTTCACCAAGGGTCCAACATGGATCATCCCACCTAGCCAAAGTTGATTCTTCATGGCCTTCTCCTCATCGTAGTCCTATGTGGCGCAATCCTCTCGGTCAGCGTATCTAGGACCCCCAACCAAAACAAAAGGACCAGCCTTGGGGGAAACTAACAAAGAAGAAATTCTTCTTCCAATTATGGACAGGCAACATGTTGTCCACCACCTTTCCCCGTCGGCCTTGAAAATACCATAAGCATTCCCCATCGAGATGCTTCCTCAATGCAAACAAACTCCGAAATATGTTCAGTCATAGACACATCTCGGAGATGGGCTATCATCACCAACACAACCATTATCATTCTAAACGGCATTGGGAGCGAGTTGGCTAAGGGTGAGATTATACTGGTTCAAAATCTAGGGAGTGTAGGGGAAAACACAATCCAAAGTGAAGGTAATGCTCGTGGATGCACAAATGGTCACCAACATAGGGGACTCTAACCCTATAGTCCCCCGGAGTGTAGTACTTCTCGACCAAACCCCTAATTTGCTCCTTGCTAAGAATGATATCAAGGTCAAAGCGGGGATAACCCCCTAACATCGCACCTTGGAACTTGGGCTCGGCCCACTCCTCAACCGTAAGTCCCCCGGCCTCCTCCACATCTACCACTTCAGGAAGCGCAAGAACATTTCCTGTGGCGTTGATCCTCAACCGAGTGGAACCAGTACTCTCATTGGTAGAGTCTACACTCTACTAGTCACGCTTGGCCCTGCAAGATGCGACCCTCTCCCTCAACACCTGGACGCTAGGTATCTAAGAAGAGCTCTCGAAGTCACTACTGTCACTCCCATCACCACTAGGAGTACTCCAGTCGGGAATGTTGTAAGCATCAAGACCAAAATCCAAGGCCGATATGTCGAGGATAAAAGTTCTTTACCTAAAGTTGTTTGTGAAAAGCAAGTTTAAAGAACTGGTTGTGGAAAGCCAAGGTGTCCTCATTAGCTCCAATACTAAATGTTTCGAGCAAATGGTGAAGTCCCACTCAACCAGCCTCCTTATTTAAAGGAAAATGTACGACCCAAATTCAATTGATCCAACGGCCACTGATCGGCCAACCTGATAGCTTGAACCAATAGACTTCACATGGCACTGACCTTGGGAGACGAAATGATGCCAAGAGATGAGGTCGGTTCGCCTGTCGACTCTGACTTAAGGACATGTCAAACCGGAACCCCTGTATCGTCTCATGCACAACCTCAACCAATTAACCCTGGCACCCGTCTTGTGTACGGACCTACAATGGATGATGTCAGAACCCGTATGGGGCATAGGAAATGCATGCAGATAGCCTACGCCGGTACGGGCCACGGTCACACACCCTCGGCTTGGAATGATCCTTTACTAACATGAAGTATGAATGGAGGAGGCCTCCACACAATGCGAATAGTTGAGGCCGACACCTCCAAGCGAATCCACCACTCTCTTCGGCCAAAGCCAAGGCCTCAACACAACTCGCCAACTGACCTCGGTCGCTACAACCTCGAGAGTGGAGAGCAAGTGATGTAGGAATATCTGGCCGACCTGCAAATCTTGACACGTGGCATCGGCTAGATGCATCATGATTGTTCATCATCAACTACTATCAACCACTCCCAACTACTACTCCTCTAAGGCAACTCTAGCTATAAAAGGGGTTCCCACATTGAGGTAAAAACACACAAACTTAAGTTGAAGCTTCCTTGCTTGGTCCGACCCCTCATAGCCCTTGGCTAACTTAACGTTAGAGTTTTCACCCCTGGGATAACTCCCGAGGCCTCTAACGTCTTCTTTGTCTTAGCAAATTGGACCCATCAGCCTTAAACACCAGAAATTACGTTGTTGCCCTCAGCTCCTTATTTGGAAGCAACACTTCTTATGGTTGGTGGCTTCTCCAAAGCATCTAAATCAAAGCTTCAGCCCTCCGAACAGACCCTAATTCTCACCAAGATGATGTAGAGGACAACAAATACCAATGTTTTAAAATCCAAATAAATTGGTAGCCTAAGTATCTAGATGTAATCATGTCAAATGAACTCCCATACTCTTACTAATAACCATATATTTTGCATATAATTTCGCTTAAAAATTTGCGTTTTCAATAATTACTATTCTTGGTAGATTAAGAGTGAACATTCCGTTTATTTGATTAAAAAAATAAATCAAATAAACCAATATCTTAATAACCTAACTTATAAAACAAGAAAGCCAAACCAAAACCGAATTACTTGAAAACCAAAACAACAAAAACCAAAATTTTAGAGAGGCGGAGGTTACCTAAAGTACAACTATTGCATAATGACCAAATTGAAATTACATTGGATATTTGGTTAGCAAATCACATATCATTCATCATAACAAAGGCTCACATAGCTGGAAAAATGAAAACAAAAAGCAAGGTCATTTATTAGAACACCCCTTATAGTTTTACAGATTTATTTAAATTTACCCCTTAGTTTTCATTTTACTAGCGCACCCCCAATAATATGCAACCTATTTACTTAATAGACCTTTCACTAAGAAGTGTTTATTTTACCATCTGAAAATAATAACATGATCACCTAAAATAAGTGGAAAATGTTTAAAGGCATGGGGCATGGGTCATGATTGTTTATTCCAAAAGTACCCTTAACACTTGTTCATACAGAAAATAAAATTGACCAAATAGAGCCAAATAGAGTGATTGCTTGGGCAAATTAAAATGGTATTTTTATTTTTATTTTCTTTTGATAAAATTTATTCAAATGGACATTAGGGTCAAAACTATCACTTTTCATGATCATCAAATGAAAGATCAATTAAGTAAATTGATTGCAAATTATAGGGTGTTTTGGCAAAGTATAAACTATAGGATCAAGGTTCAAAGTATCAGAAATGCTAAGTGTATCGGAAAGGCAATTTTAAGAGACATATCGAGATACGCATACATATTGGAGAAAAATTAAGATACCTATAGATACGCATGGAAGCACTATAAATACTTTAATAAATCATAAAAATACATAAAAATACTAAATATAAGACATCAAGTAGTTATATATACATTAAATTAATATTTTAATAGTTTTATGAAGTAAGACATTGTAATTAATTATAATTTCATTAAAAAAACCTATTATTAACTATAATTTATAAATTAAAATTCTTAAGTTTTTTGGGATGGGAAAAACCCAACTCTCCTATCTAACCATAAAGCATGCATTGGCACAACTTCTAAGTGAAAACATAATTAATAATTATTTATTATTTAAATACTTTTTATTTATTTATTTATTTTAAAAATTATAAAAAATAAATAAACATAACACAACATATTCGAAAAATAGTTATTAAAGAAGAAATTTCAAAGGCTTTGTGGATATGATAGATCAACCATAGAATTATAATATATTCAATCATTGTGATCAAATGATAAAATTTAATTAATTATTATTTACTTTTAATTCTAAAAGTATAAAAATAAAAAAAAAATTATTAAAGAAAAAAATTCAATTTCTCTATGGAAATGATAAATCATCCATAGACTTATAATATATTCAATCATTGTGATCAAATGATAAAATATAATTAATAATTAAATCATTTTTTAATTCTAAAATATATAAAAAATCAAAAAATATTAAAGAATAAATTTCAATTGCTCTATGGATATGATAGAAAAATCCATAGATCTAAAACATATTAAGTCCTTATAGGTAGAGAAAATATTATATTTTCAAATTTTTTGTTAATTTATATTTTCCCCAGATATCTTCATGAAATTTCTATAGATCTACTCATAACACAAAAAAAAAATGTGATTTTGAATGTAAGAAATGTAGATCAACAAAGATTTAAACATTCAAGAAAAAAAAAAATCACAAGATATAATAAAAATTTGAAAAAACTTACATATTTTTGCCATATTTTATCAAAATTTAAAAAATCTTAAAAAGTAAATTAACAATTCATGCTTGTTTCTTGCAAATTTTTACATATCTAGTACTCTAGGAATGAGGTTTGGAGTTTTAGAATCATTTCGGGTGAAAAAAATACTTATTTCAGTGTAAAGGTGTAAAACAGGCCATGTTGGGCTAGCACAACACGACCCATGTGTAGCCCGTGGGTCATCTTGAGCCATGCCTCCCTCCCCTGAGATATTTTGGGGGTCAACCCGACACAGCACACAGCTTGAGCTTGAACAGGCCCATGTCATGCCACAGGCCAAGCTGGTACGTAGGCTGAGCCTTAGGCCCAACCGGGCCGTGGATCGGGCCAAAGCTATTTCTTTAAAAAAAAATAAAAAAAAAATATCTTGAAACTTTTATTTTATAAGAATTTTGATGTATACAATTGTTGGGTCATGCCACGGGCTAGGCCGTGCTAGCCCACGAGCCAAGGGCAATACGGCCAACCCAATTTACACCTCTATTTCAAGGGAACGAATCTTACTTTCCCTCTTTATTTTTTATTTTTTAATTTTTTGTCATATCTTTTTCATAAAGGCTAATACACTATCAATACGCCCCAATACAATGAAAAGAAAACAATATCACCAATTTTTCTTCATATCTCGTATCAAACTTTTAAAGATACAATACAATACACCCCAAATTGAGTGTTTCGTATCGAAATTTGAAACCTTGTATAGAATAGATTACCAACTGGGGTGGTTCAGTTGGTTTGTTAACTGGTTTGCTACATCATAGATGCAGATTCAAATCCTGCAACCACCGTATTTGGGGAGGGGGTTATTAGTGGTGTATCACCAAATAACTAAAAAAAACAATAGGGTAGGTTTATAAGGGTGTTTTAGTAAATGACTCTAAAATCAACCATTAGACCTCAACAGGTAACATGACCAAATGATTCCAGAACATCTTCAAAACCAACTTATTTATCACAAATTCACAACTCTAAAATTACACTTGCTTTACCGAATTCTTTTGCCAAGGCCGTTACAAATATATGTCAAAACACCGAAAGTAATATGGAAACAATACAAGATAATCAGAAGCACATGCATACGCTCAAAAATTGCAGGAAAGGCATGGAGCTAATGCAGTCTGGTCATCTCGATTTATCATGCACTTCAATTATGTCATTGTCCTCCATGCCAAGGCCATCAGGAGTTGCAGTTGGACTTATCTTATCTCCGTCAAAACAGAAAACTAAGCTTCCTATGTCGCGCTTAACTTTTTCAGCATACATTTTGAATATCCTCTCAAACTTCTCATCCTAAAAATAAATAAACTTGTTAGAAAAAAATGCTCTTAGCAACATGATTGTAGAATTATTTCCACTTACAGTTGCTATATAATGAATATACACTGTACAGAATAAATAGAGATGCATTTGCATTAGTGATAAGAAAACTAAGGATACCAAGCAGCCCACAACACACTAGCAATAGCAATGTTGACATAGATTAAATAAAACAGCAGTTAAACTCGGCTCTCTAAATCATCTCGATGATCATAAAGAACCTATCTGCTGTAGTTAAACATTGAACCACCACGGGCAACAATCAAAACAATAAAAAAGAAGGCTTAGATAAAATTGAGAAATATCACCCAATACAACTTGTGCCAGATCTCAAGTGACTATAGAATGATTGAACTAAAAGATGGCTCCTTTTTTGGTAGAAATTAAAAAAAAAAAAAAAAAAAACTAAAAGATGGCTCCATAACTCAAAATGTGGCAGGAAGAATTCCTCAAGAATATGAAAGAAAACTAATAAATAATAGAAAAACACTAAGCAAAAAGAAATAATCAATTCTCTTAAGAAAGCTACTAACTTCAAATCTTAAATTCGATTAACTCAAGCACTTAAAATGCCAACCAAAAAAAGCAATTAACAAAAATAAAAAAAAAAATGCAGTTTGTCTCAGCAACAACTCAAAAAGATGAAGTACATAGTAGGTCAATACAAAATCAATTAAGCAGTTATTTTTGCTACAATTAATCCTTCAATTTGGGGCTTATGGATATATGTTTTGATCTGCCATAGGAGTGTGAGATAGCCAAAAATAACAAGTACACGGGATGCTACTAAAAATCATTTAAGCAGTTGTTTCGCCACAATTATTCTATATATGATTTCAGGCTTACAGATGTAATTTTCAATGTCTTGCATGACTAGAATTGATTCCTCCATGCTGCACTGATCCTCAACCCTCATGCATGTCAAATTGTCAACCACATCAAGTACAAGCCCATACTTACGGAGAAATATTTATTTCATTCTGTTTAGACATCTAACATGGATAGGAAAAGAACCACTTGTTAAGCAGTTCCTGTTCATAATTGGCTTTATCAATTCAGCAGATTAGAAATACATGTGATGAAAAATAGCTCAAAAGAATAATGCAATGCATTTATTTCTGTGAAAGACCAAAATGTCGAGCCGATGAAAAGTGGCAATACATGCATAACTATATTGTTCATGCATGATGTTTGAAGTCACAAGGTTTCTCTAGTCAACATGCATCTTGGGCCTATAAAATACAAAATAATAATGTTAATCATATTGTTAAGGACAATAAACTAAAGAAAATATCAACAATATTAAGAATAATAAGCAATGCAACCTACAGGTAACAGCATTATTGAGGATAAAACCTAAACAACATAAAGGTAACACTTAAAGGAAAAGATAATCCATGATTGTGTAGAAACTTTTACCATGAATACACGAAATTGTTTGACCCCTTCCTTGTCCTGGATAGAAATGACAACCTTAGCTCTCTCATCAAGAGGCTTAGATGGTTGACTTTCCTGAGAATTTAACAAAGACTGCATCGAACTACTAACTTCTCTTTTGGCTGATTCTTCAACAGCTCGTAACTCATCTTCAGCTGACTGAGCAAATGACGCCAACTCCTGTTTCTTTAACCTGTATACTCTAATGTTAAATGGTTTGTAGTACATCAAAACCAAATAAACAGATCAAATTTTAACCACCCTTTATTGGGGCACCATGAGGGACATGAACTCTCTCCAACCCATTTTAGTGACCAATCAGAAGGCTAGCTTCATGGGGCATTTGAAGTTCAGCTTTGCTGGCAAATCAAATAAAATTTACATGTTTAACAGTTTGGGTATATGGTTCTCCATATTAAACAGGTGTTTGAACAAAGCTACAATGTTTTTCATCTCTCCATTTACCATTTCCCGTCCATGAATAAGACAACAAGTATGGTCTTTAGAGAAGGGGAATGTCCCACTACTCCAACACACACACAGAAAGAAGAAGCAAAAGTTTAAGATTGAAGGTATAAAAGAAAAAAAGGGAACAAACAAAAGAAAGCAAAAAAGAAGGAAAAAGTTACATAAATGAAGCCTATTAAAGCAGAGTTTAGTGAATAGGCTCCCAGTATGTATTCCTGCCAATGATATGAGGTATAAATGCATGAAACAAATAAAACATTTATTATTTTGGGTATCCTAGGAATTAGGAATGAACTATTATGCATGCATTTCTTTACAAGTAACAGTTCTTCAGAATTCATTTATGAATAGGTAAAAGCTCACTTCTCATGAATGGGGAAATGATTTCCGATACAACACATCTCATGGCTAAATTCCTTACTAATATGTCTCACACTTTGTCACAAAAAAAAAAATTAATATTTGCAGAAAAGGATTTAGCCATAATATTCAAATCAAAACCCCTGGGGTTCATTATTCAAATTATAAATCATATGATTTTGACAACATAAGTAATTACATTGAGTTTCTTTGAATGGCTTGAAATACTGGCAAACCGATGCATTCATCAACCTCTCTGTCCAGCAAATATGAACTTCGGACACCAAACCAACTGATCCCCCCTTCTTCCATAACAGTGACTAATAGTAACATCAGTCTCAGCCAACCTGTACAGCCTTGGACATAGCTCACTCAGCTTGCCAACCGCGTACCAATCACCCTCCCAAAACCTAATTCTTGCTCCCTCCCTTGCAGAGAATCTTGTTAAACTTCTGAACTCTTGATTGAACTTCATAACCCCTTTCCAAAAACACTCACCCCATAGGATGATCTCACCTCCCCTGATTCCCACCGAAACCTAACCACCCCATATTTTCCAGCCACCACTCTCTTCCATAATGAATTTTCCTCCCTCCCTAAACCAAATATCCATAGCCATTTTCCAGTCAAGGCCCTATTGAACACCCTCACCCTTAAAGCCCAACCTCCCCTCTCCTTTTTATCAGCACACTTTTACCCATTTTACCAAGTGAAGCTTCTTACCCCCACCCACACCTTCCCATAAGAAATCCCTTTGAAACTTCGCCACTCTTTCAGCTACTTTTGATGGTATCTTTAATAACGACATATAATAAGTTGGTACACTTGAGAGTACACTCTTAATTAGGGGTATAAGACAAGGAGACTCCCTTTCTCCTTTCTTGTTCATTCTAATTGCGGAGGTTTTGGGGAAATTGATTCACAGAGCAGATTCTAGGGGGCTCATTAGATACTGGAGAGTTGGGAGGGTGGAAACCCCTCTTACTCACTTGCAGTTTTCTGACGACACGATTATTTTTTGTGAAGGCGGTAATGTGAGCTTTATTAGGAATTTGAAGTCGATGATACAACTGTTTGAGCAAATATCCAACTTGAAAGTTAACCTTGAGAAAAGTTGTGTTGTGGGGGTGAATTTGGAGGAGGGAGAGATCAAGGAGAGGGCTGAAGTTTTGGGGTGTGAAGTCTCGGGCTGGCCTTTGAACTACTTAGGGTTGCCTTTAGGGGATAATCCCATGAGAGAGAGCTTTTGGAACCCGGTGGTGGAAARGTTCGAAAAAAGACTAGTGTCATGGAAAAAGAACTACCTCTCTCTTGGTGGGAGAATTACTC